TAAACAGAAATAACATAGAAAGCCTTTAAATTGTCAAATGACACATTTGTATATTGAATGACAGTAGAATGTTATTGTCCTCCAAAACTTCCTGTCATTCTGACAAACATAGCAATGACGATCAGTTCTTCTATATATATATATATATATATATAAATCTCCAAAGATTCTAGCATCTGTCATATTTCATGTCTTGTGGCTATTTAAAGGTTGAGATGTTGAACGTAGTATCACTGATTGAATAACTCTCTGTAGTCAAGGGATTCCTATTCTTATCAGCGGTCAGTGGATATAACATCTCTTGTTCATCACATGGCCCTCTGCCAAGGTCAGGCTACTTACATTTTGAATTTGTTTTATAAAAATATTGCTAAAGTGAGGATTCTCATCATGTTTACTAGAAACTTACACATTCATTTTGAAAGCTTTGGAAAATATACATCCGTCTTTCACTAGGTGGTTGCTAGGCTTCACAATAAATGGAAGTGTTTATGAAACTGTGCAGTAAACATTCACTACTTAGATCAAATATATCCCACAAAATATTTATGATACCTAATATTTTTGTTTAATATATAAACAGCTTCAAATATTTCCATTTTTCTTACACTGACAATAACTAATATTGTCTGTTATCCAGCTTTGATTTATCAGTGAAAGACCTTCTGAACATGATAGCCTCTCAACCTACTAAAAGGTGAAAAGAATTGCCAAGTAAACAGAGTTGGAGACCACAGGAGATATTAGCCTAATTATCACCAAATTATCACCAATAAGATTTAAGCAATGTTAAATGGTGTTTAAATTCCCACGCTCTTAAAACAAGGTCAGATTTAGAAAGTTCTGACACATCAATATGATCAAAACCCACACACAATACTGCCAGTTTTAATTGAATACCACAAGGCCAATATTGTTAGCTAGCCATGTTCCCAGATAATACTCTTCATGAACAGTACCACGTTTGCTCGTATCAAAATCTGCTTGAGTCATTTAGCATCAGGCCATTCTACTGTTTCCTCAGCTGGGCTGGTATCCGATAAATATACCATTCACTTCCATCACTCAAGTTACAATTCTGACATTCAGATATATACAACTCAGCAACACAGTACACCTTGTGTTGACAGTATCATTGTGAGCTCTTCACATGGCATCAGATTCCATGTCATTATATCATGTATCATTACCCTGTTCTAAAGTATTACATCATGGAAGGGTCTGCAAACCTACAATTTACAACACGGTCACCACTAAACACTGTCTTCAGATATTCTTTTCTTACAGGCTTGACTAGTTTTTGTCTTCTTGTTTTTCTTGGTCAATGTACCAATAGGAAGCTAGTGGATTTGAGGGTTAATTTCTTATAAAATCAAGAAACAAAAGTTTAAACAAATGAAAGATTTCTAAAATATTTCACAACATATATTCATAATCAGGGTATTTGTAATGTTGCCAAATATGGGTGAGGGTTTAAGGTCTGTAAGACCACAAATTGGTCAGCCTTTGATAATACATCTTGGAAATCAAATTAAATCACCAAGCAAACTCTTTACAAGAAGCCTTCATTCAAGCAAGCTACATAATGTATGCAATGGAACACACTATATGACAACTTCATGACATGATGCCTTCTAAAGAGATAGAACACCTTTCATGACGTCTTCAGAAGACCCTACAATATCACACCCTGCCAGAAACCTCTTTAATGAGGTCTTCAGCAGAATACAGATGACATCTTCAAATAGAACATCCTACAATATCACACCCTATAAGGGATTTCCAGAACCCCTTTCATGAAGTCTTCAGAAGACCCTACAATATCACACTCTATAAGGGATTTCCAGAACCCCTTTCATGAAGTCTTCAGAAGACCTTACAATATCACACCCTAGAAGAGATCTCAAGAACCCTTTCATGAAGTCTTCAGAAGACCCTACAATATCACACCCTAGAAGAGATCTCAAGAACCCCTTTCATGAAGTCTTCAGAAGACCCTACAATATCACACCCTATAAGGGATTTCCAGAACCCTTTCATGAAGTCTTCAGAAGATCCTACAATATCACACCCTATAAGGAATTTCCAGAACACATCACATGAGATTCATAAACAACCTACTAGATATTTCCAGGCACCCAACAACATGAAGTCTTCTTGAGAACACCCTACAATATGATGCCTTGAGTGAGTGAGTTTGATTTTACGCGCACATTTAGCAAATTCCAACAATATCACGGTGGGGAACACCAGAAATGAGCTGAACACCTTGTACACATGTGGGGAATCTAATCCAGGTCTTTGGCCCGACGAGCGAACGCTTTAACCTCTAGACTACCCCATTGCCCCAAGCTGCCTTGAAGAAAACACCATACAACATTATCTTCTTAAACGCAACAATAAGAGGGCCCATCCAACTGTTTAACTATCAATAGCTTAGTGAATGGGTGAGTGATTAGGTTTAGTTTTATACCTCTTTAAGCAATATTCCAGCAATATCACGGCTGGGTTACACCAGAAATGGGTTTCACAGATTGTACCAATGTGGGGAATCGAACGCAGGCCTTCAGCATGACAAGCGACACACTTTGACCACTAGGCTACCCCACCTCCCATCAACAGCTTATAACTCCTGTACAACATGAGAACATCAGGTAATAGGCCGACAGTGCCTTCACTTCTGACATCTGCAGGTAATTGTTGGTCAGAAAGTCCCCGGTCATCAGTGTTACTGTTACAGCTGCAGTGCTTCAGATAGCCAGGGGCTGGTCATTGACCCTGCAGAAAACAAATTAACCCCACTTTGCGAGCAATGTGTCCCTTGGCCCTGTATCTGACACATCAGTCTCACCAGTGGTCACTTGACACATGTGCATCAATCAATCAGGTCTTCTTGATATGATAGTGAGAGGCTGAAGTTTTATGCTGCTTTTAGCAATATCCCATATTCCAGCAATATCACAGTGGAGGACACCAGAAATGGGCTTCACACATTTTGTACCTGTGTTGGGAATTGAACCTGGGTCTTTGACGTGAAAGGAATGACAATTCGAGGTGTAATCAAATTCCTGTTTTTAATATTCTTCTTTTTTTTAATTTATGCATAAACTAAGAACATGGAAATAAATTTGTAAATCTTTTTCTTTAAGCCCATAATGGACAGTTGTCATCTTCCCAGTGAAAAAATCAGATCAGAAACTGTTTTTATGCAGAATGTGGCTGGAACTTCTGGAAGTGAGTGAGTTTAGTTTTATGCTGCTTTTGGCAAAATTCCAGCAATATCATGGCGGGGGGACACCAGAAATGGGCGAATCACACATTGTACCCGTGTTGGGAACTGAACCTGGGTTTTGACATGATGAGCAAACTCTTTAACCACTAGGCTACCCCAACCGCCCCACTTCTTGACATGATAAGGTAATACTGGTCTGGATATGATCCCATGCATAATCATTGCTGCATGGACTGTGCAAACAATGGACATGTCTTTCTTCAAGCTGTTGTTTCAAACAAGTAACCTGAACCTTGTTACAAAACACATTGTCAGTGTTTGTGGATGTTGAATCTTGCAACAGTGACAGATCCGTAAGTAGGAACAGTACTTCATAAATGAAACCTTATTATAGTCCTATATATATTTTAACAGATCATATTCCATGATGCATTGTTAGATAGGTCAAACAAGAAATAATACTTTGATTCTGATCACACTGAACGTGAAATTAGGGGAAGGACAACTTTTCAATAATTCTTTTTTTAAATCCTTCAAACTGTAGTACAGTGTGTAGGATGTTCTGTGTATGTGGTGTATTTTGTAATGTGTTTTTTTTGCTTTGTCATGAAAAGTAAATAATTTGCATGTGCACTTTTACTTTGGGTCAGTCAGATATTCAGAACCATATCACTTTTTTCAGGCTTAATACAATCCTGATGATTTGATATGATCGTCAATATGTGAACTTGAGAAGCAAATGTAACCCTATATTGCTATGGAACAATACCATCCACATACTTCCTGCCTTGTGAGTATAGTTATTAAGGTTACAGGAATATCATGACAGTCTCCTAGGCTACTGGCCTCGAGCTGCAGTCAGTATATGAGTGAGCTGGGTTTAATCCATCTTCTCTAAGCAAGGGGGTAAAGGGTTGTTTTTTAACGCCGCACTCAATAATATTCCAGCTATATGGGTGTAGTCTGTAAATAATTGAGTCTGGACCAGACAATCCAGTGATCAACAGCATGTGCATCAATCTATGCAATTGGGATACGATGACATGTGTCAACCAAGTCAGTGAGCTTGACCACCCGATCCCGACCACCCGATCCTGTTAGTCGCCTCTAATGACAATCATGGGTTGCTGAAGACGAGTTCTAATCTGGATCTGCAGTTACAGGGTTATATTTTGCATGAACTAATGAGTCTATGCATATTCCAATCAAAAGCATACAGCAAAATTTACATTCTGTTCATGGAGACTGCCATGCAGATTGAGGTAAATTGCAGGAATTGCAGAGCATGTCAGCTGTCAAATGGGTGTTGACAAAATATTTTCCAAATCTTTTCATGTTTCTTATCAAGGTGCTCAAGTGATCTGATGCATGCCATGATGTACGATGCCTTTTACTTTAATTGAGATCTTGATTATCGACCATTAAGTCTTCACTGGGCACTGCCGTTTCCCTTGAAGCAAATGCTAGCAATATGAGATGTGGAATCTGATTGGCCCATAGGAGGGACATATACAGATGTGGGTGTGGGTGTGGGTGTGGGTGTGGGTGTGGGTGTGGGTGTGGGTGTGGGTGTATGTGTGGGTGTATGTGTGGGTGTGGATGTGGATGTGGGTGTGGATGTGAATGTGGATGTGGGTGTGGATGTTGATGTGGCTGTTGATGTGGGTGTGGGTGTGGGTGTGGGTGTGGGTGTGGGTGTGGGTGTGGGTGTGGGTGTGAAAGTCTTAAGACCAGCTGAGCTGAATGGCTCCTTCAAACTTCACCCTACCTGACAGCACAACTTCCACGAGACTGGCCTCCCCAATCGTGCTGGGGTCATCAATAAGCTGTAGGACATTAGCACAGCTCTGGCTATGTTGGAACAGCAGAATCTTGTCCACAAGGTTGTAAAAGCCATGTTCCGGGAACTGAAACATAGAAGAGAGATGCACTATTAAATATTATTGTACTGGATATTACACAAGAAATATCAGGGGTAGTGAAACTGCCATGTTTAATGTAACATCATAAGTCTGTGAGAAGATATTAATGCCAGGACGTTCCTCGCAAAGGTTCCAGCTACAAGGCTTTTTGAGTTATAGAGGAGACACTGATATGCTAATTTTTACAATTGATGGTCACACAGATGGAGAAATACATGTCAAAGCAAGAAAACATATACAGTAACCACAAGGTTTATTTGAGCTCAAAGCTAATTTAAACTTGCAAAACAATATTCTTTGCACGTAACCATAATGCTATTCAAGCCATCACTAAGACAATCTTCCTTTAACATGTCATCTTAGGTATCTTAATGTCATTTGTCCTTCATAGTTTTAACACAATGACAACGTAACATCAGGCATTTGTTCAGACAGCAAAAACATAGTTCCAATGAAATAATAAGAGAACATTAACACAATCACAACTTCTCCAACATATAAATAACTGACAATGCAAAAATATTTGTCACCATTACCACTGATTGCTGACATTAAACTTAGTTTTAGTGTCAAGAGAAATTTATTATGCCATTTTTTAAGGCCAAAATGCTAGTCAATGAATATCCTTTTATTTAGCATCTTCAGAAATTTATTTGCTTGACAAAAGAAAACACAAAATATATCTCAATTACTTAGGTTAGTTGCCATGGACAGTGTAGATAGGGCTTTACTTGCACAGTGTATCGACATAATGAAACATTATGTTGCAATAAAAAGCACCAACATGGCATTTATCATAACTTTCCATTAATATATAACCTTTAAATCCTGAAGCAGGCATGAATACTCTTGACAGTTTCTGTGTGACATGTAACAGCTGACATGGATTTCTGACACAAATTCTCTTTGGGGGCTTGTGATCATTAGTGTGAGGCCCCAACTCTGGATTCCACTTTACTGCCAACTGGGGAATTGAATGGCAATCAATCAGGAAGTCTGATCTACTTGCCACACATGCTTTAGAAAATCTTTGGAAACGTTTGTAATAAATTTTGAGATTTTAATCTATTTGAAAACAAAATATACAAACATGCATGAAAGGTATTATTAGCATGTATTTATCATGTTTGTTTAATCTTCTGTTTATTCTTAACAAACACTTCTGTCAGAACATACAACCTTCAAATCACTCAACCGGAAATTACAGGCTCTCCACAAGTAGTCAAAAGTGAAAAAGCCAAGAATGTGGGTAATTTATGAATATGGATAACTGTAAAAACAATGCCTGCTGACAAGGCTGTTGGAACTCCACAATGAAGCTCATTGGCCTGTACTAATTAACACCCATTAACACAAGTAAGTGTTAGGCACCGATGAATATGGTAATGCTTCAGAGGAAAAGGATTCATTATCAGCCTATCTGACACTTTTTTTACTATCTGAGCAGCTGACTGACAAAAGAATTTTACCTTATTTAAATAGTGGACCAAAAGCATACTGATTTAGTGATCAGCTAAAGCACACATTTTCCTGGTTGAACATAGTCTGACAAGGACCTGGACTCCCTAAATACAGAAGTATATGGTTATGAGAATGGGCATGCTGCAGGGTTAGAGAAAGACATGCTGTTGAATACGATTACTGGTACGTGCATATTCCAGTATGCAAGGAATCTGCGTACAGTGGAGTCATATATATATACACACACACATACATTTTTTATTATTGTCATAGGATATTTATATAGTGCACATAACCACGCAACTAGTACACGCTCAAGGTGCTCATATTTTTTCCAGATTCTAGTACTTTTGTCATCCGGGATTCGAACCCATACTCAAGCACACATTCACATGAAAAACCCTATATATTATGCATACCCCAGTAACAAAATACAAATGTAACAATAATATATTAGGATTTATTTATTGTCTAACAGGGCAATATTCCGTCTAAATGACAGCGGTCGAAAGTATATCAACCAGCTGAGTAAGTGGAAAGCTACAGTTGGTAAGTAATCTAGACATCTACTGCTTCAGGAGCCTCCTACACTGTCAAGGTACACACAGATTACACAGGTGCACACGAATTAACCAGGTCACCAAGCGTCATCATCTCATCAAATTTAGTCACCTCTTAGAACTAGCAACAGCACTTTCTAACCCAAGTCCCAACAGGATTCAAGCAAACAACAATTTTGATCAAGGCTGTTCTCATTACAATTACCACTGCCTACAGAAAATCATCATTGAAAGATACCCCTGCTCCTTCAGATAATTCCAGACTATCAATAATGCAATCATGTCCATGTTGGGAATAACTGAATTTCATCTGTGCCAACACAGACTATATGGTTATAGATAATGACATTTTGGTACCATACACTGAAGAAACAAAACGCTACAATGATTATTTGGCTGACAAATATCTGGTTTTCATTTTGTTGTGCTTACATATTTTTCACTTCTATTTTTCTCCGAGCCATATTTTGGGAATGTGATTGTGCAATTATATCCCAGAGAGGCAAATGAAAATCCTTACTCAGCAAACTATACATTCTAAGCTGTTTGCAGGAACGATGTCTGCTTGTGCCAACCGAAGTTTGTCCTTGGAAGCAGCCAATACAGTAAATCCCCATTTCTATTTAAAAGCTGAAGTCACAAGTAACAAGGAATCTAATTTGTCAAATTGTGTTTTGTTTTGAAAATAAAAAATTAAAACACTGTATTTTCTTTAAGATCTACAGAGGACTGCTGTATACCTGGCTGAAGGTAAAGTACTCAAATATTCAGAAGATTAGAATTGTTTTTCAAAACAAATAAAAAGTATCTGATTTTGATTTTGCCTTAAATGGTTATTTTTATGAAATTGGAAATGTACATCAGTTTGATGCTCATGAAGTCAATCACTAGATTGTCTGGTTTGGACTGAACTATTTACAGACCACTGTCACAGATCTGAAATATTGCACATTTAAACAACAGGAAAAATAACACACAAAACCTACAGCAGTTTGAAAGGAAGGACAATTCAAGGTGTAATTAACTTCCTGTTTTTCATAAGAATTTTAAAAAGTCTTTTTTTTTTCAAATTTATGCAAAAACATAAAACTAAGAACAGGGAATTTTTTTTCCTTCTTCTTTTCAAACCATAATGGACAGTTGTCATCTTCCCAGATCATAAACTGATTTTATACAGACTGTGTGAGTGGCTGGAGCCAAAGGAAGAGCAGAGAATTGTGTCATGACTGATTATCAGTAATCCACACATACAAAATTCACTTTTATTTTCCTTTTACGCTGGTAGAATCTCTTTCAACTGATATTGAGGCTTGTTATTATTGGCGTTGATGTTCTACTTATTTTTCCCCACTAATTATAGCCTGGAGCAACCCATCAGAAGAAACTGTATACACTTCACAATGTAACAAAAACATTACACATCATCAGATGATGACAACGGAGATAACAAAAAGTATAATATGTTGTAAAGGTAACATCATCACACATTAAACCTATTACTTGGCATGCAACAGCCATGCATCTTGCAACAACACCATCACAACAAAAAGTTCATTATGAAACACTATCTTTTTGCATTACATAACCAAATGTCAATTTGTCACTTTTACTTCCATGTGACTATAAACAGATTGAAATGCTGATTCCTTTCAAGATAGAAAAACAAACATTAAAACTGTTAAACTCTAAAATGTTTGAGAACAGGCACAGATTAAAAAACTTGTTCGCAAACTTCAAATAGCTGCACAAATATGGATGTTAACATTGACAAAACTATCAATGAATCCACATGTCTGTATAGAAACATTTTAAGTTAAAATACTACATTAACATGCCACACTATTTGATAGACTCAAGATGTGTGGAGTTTAACACTGCACGCATGATTATTACAACATGCATGGATATGTATATGTGTCTGCTTGAGCTTATCAGGACTTAAGTTGGTATTGTAGGGCTGGCACACTGAAATCCCATGCAGTAGTTTATTAAACTTACATACTCTGCTCTGACACAGTCCACTGACTCCTAACAATCAAATACACCATCAAGGATGTAAAAAAATAGGAAAAGTACTGATAAATACTGACAAATCACTCAGGCAGTTAATTATTTCTGTGTAAAAAACACTAGCATTTACATAAGATGATGATGATGATGATGCTGATGATGATGCTGTAATTATGAAGCCTTACATGCTGTGCTTGCTTGAAGTGCTACAGTTTGCACATAGGATACTTATAAAACAGAAGAGTTTTAGCTGAGATTTGACTATGTCCGAACTTGTCCAGTAGGTTGACCAAACAAGGAGGTCCATCATCAAATTTACCAAAGTGGTAAATGTCTACCAACTGCATTACTCAGGGCAAGCCTCACATATTAACCTTGCTCACAACACTGTGCGAGCCAACTAACTTACTCAGGGCTACTTCAGGGAGTCAGTACTCTGACCTCCATATCTGCTCATGAAGAAGTAAGCAGGTTTTCTGCGGCAATGAAAACTGTTCCCAATAAATGTGAAGTGATGCAGGTCTTGGATGTTTACCACTTCAGTGGAAGCCATTAACCAAGAATCAGGGCATATCTAGGATTCAAACTCATAAAACTACATACTACTGGTATGTCCAAGGGAAGGGACCAGTGGAGTAGCCTAGTGGTTAAAGAGTTCGCTTGTCACAACGAAGACCCGGGTTTGATTCCCCACATGGGTACAATATGTGAAGCCCATTTCTAGTGTCCCCGCTGTGATATTAATGAAATAATCCTAACTGTGCTGTAAAACTAAACTCACTCACTCTAAGGGATACAAAAGTATAAGATATTTTAAATGAACAGTCACAAATGACTCAAACCAGGAAATAGAACACACATTTAAAGGAACAGAAGAATGTGTACCTTGCTTCCCATAACACAATACATACTAAAAATCAAATTTATAAACATCTCTCAAAAGAAAAATGAAAG